CGCGCTCGCTGCCCGACCAGAGCGAGTTCACGCAGCCGCGGCGGGCGGCCATCCTTGTCGGGGCGCCGGGCAGGCGGAACCGGGGCGCACCGCTGACCAGCTACCGTGCAACGGGTGAGAGGAAGGAACGGGCTACGGTGCGGCTCCCGGTAGAGCAACACGGGTCCGGACGAGCGATACGAACATAGCAGCAGCTCGAATTAACGCAACATTAATGGGAACGTAATCCCGTCCATCTGTAGTGCCATGCAGCCTGCAGCTCAGGCAGCCCCGCTGACTGGCACAGAATTAATGAATCCACCGGCACACTGAAGAAACATCAACGAGCCATGCCTCTCATGAACCCAGGCTCGGTTTCCTGTTAACATTGTCCTTTTTCTCTGTCACTAATCAGCCTGCCGGTGCCGTGGAGAGTCCACGGCGCTGCGCTCCGTGCGCTGCGTCCCCAATGAGACAATGCAACAGACAGACAGGCTGCTAACGTTACATGTGGGAGCAGCAGCGGAGAGGAGGAGCCACTGCAGCCGGAGCTCAGCACGGATTGGACGGGCAAGTTTTTCGAATAGATGCATGAAAAATACCCACAGTGTCCAACTTGAGTGTCCTGGACAGCAGAGGATTCATTCCTCAAGTCCAGAGCAGCAGCATGTAGCCTGGCACATGTAGAGTGGTGCAGCTTTCAGGCAGCTGCTGTTTGCATCCTGGTTTCTGCTTGTGGACATGAGAGCAAAGTGTACACTGTAGAAATGAACCATTTAAACATTATTATTATGATGATGATGATGATGATGATGATGATGATGATAATAATAATGATGATGATAAAAATAACAAGAATAATTTACTGCTAGTTTGCAGACTGTTCCTGTTTTGTTATAGATAATACCTAGTAAAGTCACAGACTAAAATAAGTAATTTACATGTTTACTGTTAATAAAAAACAAACAACAAAAAACAGTAAATAATGTCCACATCACAAATTTTTACTTTTATGATGGTAAATTGTTGTTTTTCAACAAACAAACCTTTACTATATTAAAATCAGCAAAAATATTGTTTGTTTTTTTTCTGTTATTTCAAAGAAAGAATTATATGTGTAATTAAGATTGGAAATGGTACATTATTTCCTGTTGTTTTTACAGATTTCCCTTGTTTTTTGTATTTTACAATTGCATATAATAACTAGTAAAATCATAGAAATTGTATTAACGTACACATTTCTTTTTAAAACAGACCCAATCTGTAAATAATGTCCATGTCAAAAACCTGTACTTTTATAGATGGCAATTTGTTCTTTAGCAACGTTTGACTCTAAAATGATACTATAGTTACTGTATTTAAAGCAGAAAATCAACATTATTTTACAAATATTGTCAATTTTTGGAAGAAGAAACACTGATATTTAGGAATGAAAATGGTAAATGATAGTATTTAACAAGTTAAATCAGAGGAAAAAAACATTAATTTACATGTCAATTGTGAAACAAAAAATCTGTTTTTATAAATGTTTATTCATTCTTTTACAGTGTTGATGATACGACTTCAATATATTTAATCAGTTAAAAAAATTAGTTTTACACATATTCACTGTTATTTTCAGTTTTTGAACGTTACAGTATTTCATCATTTTCTCTGACACCCGTGATGTGAGATTTTCAGTTTTTCATTTTTTACAGCGTACCTTTTCTCCATAAAGTCTACATCTGACAACTAAACTTTACAAAATTATGTTGATAATAAACTTCTAAATTTCTATCGTACCTTTCAAAACTGAAGTTTAGATGTGAGTTAGAAAACATTACAGTGTATGAAACATAAGAAAGTGACAATAAAACATTAAAAAAAGACAATAAAATAATAATGAAACTATAAAAATAGAAACAACAAAACATTAGAAAACGATGAAATGTTACACTATGTCCTATCTGTACAAGTGGGCTTTTTAAAGCCCTTTAAACCGACACATTGGGGGAATTTGTTGCAGTGAATTGGGGCTAAAACAGAAAAAGCTGTGTGGTTGTGCAGCATAAAGACTCTGCAGACCCACACAGGTGTTTGCAATTGCTCTGTCTGCTGATCCCTGCTGTCAGGTGCAAATGAGGCAGAGTTGCATGTAATTATTTCACTAAACTCTGTGCTCTAGAACAATAACAGGTTAATAGGTGGAAACACCTGTGTTAACATACAAATTGTGCACTCACTTTGCAATGCATCTGTTCTATTATTGATTTTATCAGCAGTCGACCAGCTGCAACAGTAAAATGCTGCTTAAACGTTAATGCATTGGCCAATATTCATTAAAAGTATAGGACTAACAGGTTTAACTCTGAACTTTAAGTACATTGAGCTAATTTTGCATACAAGAATTCTAAGATATTCTTTCACATGAGTAAATCGTTTTAATATCATTATAAGTTGCTGTCTCCCTCTAAAGAAGGCTTGGTTACCAAAAAGCAGACACCTTCTCCAGACATCCAGACATCCAGGGGCCATTCAAGACCATGTTTGACCTTGTGTGGAGAAATTTCCAGCAAACTTCCCGACCTCTTTTCTGTCTCAAAGACATTTTGACCAAACGACTCACAGCTGCTTCAGTTTCAGGATCTGTCTCACCATTACAGAGCCATCATTGATGTGATTAGTAACACCTGGACTTTACCTACAGCCACAATCAAAAATGTCTGCTGTGAAAAATTTCTGGCAGTAAAATACAACATATCTGTCTCCATAAATCTTGCAGATCTGATTCCAAACCTTTATAATCTTGACCTAATTAGTTTAGTTTAGTTTTTTAAAACCAAGTTACCTAAGTATACACAATTAAACCTTTAGCATGTTTCATATGAGACACTTTAGATTCTTTTAAAAGCAAATGAACGACACTATTATTTTTTATGCATTGTTATTTTTCATGCAGTTTATCAATACTATCACGTCACAAAAGAAATCTGTATCTTGTCTTTTTTACTATTTGAATTTGATCACTTTATAATGAAGCTGCTGTAAAAAAAAAAAAAAAAGACATTCATATGACTGCTGTAGATGAGCAAATAAAGTATCTGTCAATGTCCAGAGCAGCTTGGAGCCACTTCTCAACCAGCAGAGGGTGATCTTCACCCACAACAGAGCATCTGTCCTTAATTACATTTCTACACTCTGGTGGTTCACAGACTGCAACCTGAACCGAGAAACCGTCCAAATCTGAGATAAACTGTTTATAAACTCAGCTGCCAGTTTATTTACAATGTGCCATATAGGATATTAGAAACACATCTTTTGTATCACACAGTCCAGTTCAGCAGCAACTCAAACTACAGCCTCCAAAAAAAGGAAAGTTAAACCAACACCTCTTTAAATAGGTTTTAATATAACTGCCGTTGACTTTTATTGCATTGCATTAATCTATATTCGTTTTAGCTTGATTGTACATGGTGGAAGTACCTTCAGGAAAAAATGTTATCAACGTGGTGTTCTTTGATATTTTAGTGCTTCATATTATAGGATGATAGACATTTTAAAAAGTTTGTAATCGTATTGAGCATAACTGATAAAACCTTATCACCTGTTCTTGTAGCTTCTGATCAAATGGTCTTTAGTTGAAGACGGACTTTGCTCAGTAGTTTTCTCACTTTAAGTTATGAGAAAGTGCTGAACAATGGAAACTGGAGCATTTACATTTTCATGACTATCTGTTTATGGAGATCATGTGATTTGACTCAAAGCTCCAGAACAGCTGCTAAACAGACCTTAAAGTAAAATTGTTTCGTCAATTTGCTATTTCTAGGGTAACGAAGCAAACTTTACTAACTTTGTTCTGTGCAAGTGTCCCAGTATGTCATGACTGTGTAACACTAAGTCTGTATGAACAACACCCAACATACTGAAACAGCTAAATAGAATTCAGCCTTGTCATGATGACCAAGTAAATGACAGCTAAAAACAATTTAAGCAGTTTCATATATTTACATGTTTTATGCTTGATGATGTAACCGAGCTGATGCTTTAAAGTCAGTGAAGCGGGCATCATAAGTAGCTCATAGTTAGACAATACATAAAAAGTAAGTCCTTTTGTTGCTTTTCAACATTGAATCATGTTCGATTTAATTTGTCTTTTTTGACACAAATGTACAAAGTGAAAACAGATATCTACAACATAGTGCCAGTTAATGTATTGTAAAACATATCATAACATGTCCAGATGTGCAAGACTGACTGAGATCATCCACAGAGGCTCAGTGTTGTAATTGCATCCAAAGGTGCATCTGCCTAATAAAGGGCATGAATTAGTAAACAATCACTTGTTTTGCATTTTACATTTTTGACTACTTGACGTTACTTTGTAGAAATCTGGAAAACTGTTTTCACTTTGATGTGAAAGAATACTTTTTTTCGTCAATTCTTGGTCAAAAAAGGCAAATGTAAGTGACTATGATTCAATGTTAAATAGGAATAAAAGGGGAAAACTTTCAACACTGACCAACACTGTGTTGTCTAGCTGTGTATAATACTCATGTTTAGTCTGATTACTTCTTACTTCTCATATTTATTATCCCAAATGGGATGCGTTTGGAGACACTGCATCAGTCAGAACACAGTGCTTTACATTTACAGCATCCTACAAACTGCCTGCAGCAACACTTATTATTGACCCTGATCACCGTCAGTCATTGTTAAAAGATTCGTCCACATGATGACAAAATGAGCATCAGGCAGGGAGGTCAAAGGTCAGATGTTAACACATTAATCAGTTACACAACAATCAAATCTCATGTTAAAGGCCTCACCAGGTTTTTAAGTGTGTCAGTTTGGATCATCCGGCCTCATTCAGACACTGGAGACCTCAGTTGTACGTCTGTCTTGTGTTCTTTATGCTCTTCATGGTGGGCTACCCTCATTATTACGCCTATTGGGCCTCTCTGTGTACGTGACAGTGGCGCCGATATCACAAGCAGCTGTGAGAATGCTCCATGAGATAACCAGTACGTGTGAATCTGGTCTGAGGGCAAGAACATGCACACGGATGCATCCCCGCATCAGGACGAGGAGTGTGTCTTTGTTTGCCGGTGTCACATGTCTGCTCCTCCCAGCTCGGCCTTCTATAAAACGCTGGTGGTTGCAACAGCTCAGTGGGGTTTGCTTACTTCCACCCGAGGGGACTTCACTGTCAGCCCGGGCAAGACCGCCACACCGCCTCCACCTCCACTGGTGTCTGCAAACCGCCCCAAGCAACAAGCAAGCATGGCTCCTTTCGAGAAATCCATGGAGATGATGCCCTTCAAGCAGAGGAAATGCCTCGGTAAGACAATGTTTATTCCACTGCTACATCTAGTTGTATTAAGAAATTCACCTCACAGTGCGTTTTAAAGAGTAAAATGTGTATAAAATAGTGCATTCTACGTCTCCTTAGAAACAAGAAAAGATGAAGTGTGCAGCATTCGCTCAAAATTCCCCAACAAGTTGCCTGTGAGTTGGTTTAAATTCTGTTTTTTTGGCAAATGTAGTTGATTTCTTCTGTTTTTGAAACTACCAGTTGGTGTGTTGTTGTGTTCAGGTGATTGTTGAACGTTACCTCCGTGAGAAGACTCTACCCCTGCTGGACAAAACTAAGTTTCTGGTTCCCTTCGAGCTCACTTTGGGTCAGTTCCTCTGCCTGCTCAGGTAAATGATCTGTGCTTCACTGCATCATGGCGCAGACTAACTCCTTGAGCAGCTTGTTTTTCTTCTCAGTCCAACCCTCCCCTCTCTTCACTTTCTCCCCCGAGCTGTCACATTGTGCTTTGTTCCCTCAAATTCTCCACGCCTCTGCCTCCCTCACATTCTCTCCTGCTTTGTCCTCTAAATCTCTGCTGATTTCCGCCCTCAATCCGCCCTCTCCGACTGTCTTCCCTTTAGGAATAAGATCGCTCTGGACTCCACCCAGGCCCTGTTCCTCCTGGTGGCGGAGAAGAGCATGTCCTGCATGTCCTCCAGCATGGGGGAGGTGTATTCCCGTTACAGAGATACCGACGGCTTCCTCTACATCACCTACGCCTCGCAGGAGATGTTTGGAGCACCTCAGCCGGCAGCGAGGCTGCCCTGCTGAGCCCGACGCACATAAAATGAACTGACCAACAGTGGAGACGCCACACAGTCAAACTGGAGAAAAAGGACCAACTGAGCCAAACAGACGCTGTTGTTTTGTAGCCCCAAAACTGCACATCTGCCTACCTCATCAAACCTCTCTGGACTTTTAGACAAATAAAAACAGTTTGTTGGCTCCTCAGCTGGCCAAAACCGCACTGGGGTGGACAAGGCTCATCCTTTAAAGACTTTGGTTTGGACTGATTGATTATGTGACTGGCTTAAATAATGATTTCTGGTAAGAGAAGGGTTTTTTCTCAATATAGAAAATTGCTTGAGTCATTCTTTAAGCTACGGGAACAATGTAGAAGTTGCGACACACTGAGTGTTGGGATTTTTCTGTTCTAAAAACAAGAAAATATTCAAATTATAATGTCAGCATTTACCCTTCTGTTAGGTTTCTATGCAAGTAAAGTGTGTTTTCACATTGCTGTAGCTGCAGGACAGTAGAAGCCTGTCTAGTGGAGCTACACCTCCTCCTCCACCTGACAAATACAGGGTAAATATCTTAGATGGTAATCAAACTCCTTCTTAGCACTTATCCCCCCCTCTCCTTTTTTTTAATTGCTTCTTCGTCCTCCCTCGAGAATGTGAAACTGTCCCACAGATTCGTCATTACAGGAATTTCTGACTTGGTTTCATTTATTGCTGCTCTGATGTGTTTCTGTACCAAATAAATCACAAAATAAAGTCTCGCCCTTTTAATGTATTGATTTCGTGTGATATTTACTCGAGTCTCCTGAAGCGTTTAATTGCACAGGTAGTGATATAACTGAACTGGTGGTGCTTCATAATATCACAGGTTAGAAATTTGCATGTGTTGAGCTGAACAGGCTGCAGAGTGTCGTCACACATGATGCGGGGTTAAAACACCATCAAAATAGACGTCATTTCATAACCTTTCAGGGCTTTCTGGGGTATTTACTGAGCTATAGTGACCCATGTTGCAGCAGTGGGTTGGCTACACTCGAAGTCCCATCATCCCATCCTGCATACTCACACATGCAGGTGCTTCATTCCTCACCTGCCTCTGAGAAGTGGCACTCCCCCCCCCTCGTGAGTGTGTTACATAAGCCCGACCCAGTCAACTCTCTGCAGGGGTCAGTGTGTCAGAGGGCTGGAGGGGTTATTTTTAGACAGATACTGAGAGACAAGGGGAAAGAATGAGTCGGGGGTGGGGAGTGACAGGAATACAAACCAAAAACAAAGAATGAGAAAAACTGTAAAAAAGCTGCCCTCCATAAACAGTGGCAGAAAAAGGAAGGAAGAGGGGAAGAAGAGATGAGGGGAAAACGGTGACGTCTTCGCAGGGAAAGACAGGAAAAAGGAAACAATGTAAAGGAGAGATATACAGTGGTGAAGGGAGGCAGCTATCCAAACACACGGCGTACAGAAGCGCAGGGATGTGGAGTCGTACTGCCTCCCACTTCACACCACTGTGGCCATTCCAGCAGCTTTCTGGCAATACATTATCGTACCTGAACAGGAGGAACCGCCAAACTACTGCCAGCGGTAAATGGTTGTTTTGAGCATGAATGTTTTTCTTTTTTCAATCCTTTTACAGCATTTTACACAAGCTTTCGCTCCATTTTCACAGAAATAAAACATCCAAGTTATTCACTGAATTTTAATCGCTGTTGCAATTTAAATAAACCAAGTCTGCAGATTACATAAGCAGCAAAGAAGAAGATGCAGATGTCTGTATGGGAAACAATGAAGAATAAGATGGTTTTGCTCTATTGGTTAAATGATGAAATAAAATGAAACACACACTGTTTACGAGCAGCACCCAAAATAAAAGAAATTGTAATTTCCCCCCTTGTTTTCTGTTCCACAAATGTCACACACACACTTCAAATATACGCAAGAGGTTTCAGTGTGACATCAAATTAAGGAACTTCTTCTCTATGACTTTAGCCTTGTTCAGGACTTTTGGACCCCAGGCCATTTGGTTTAGGTGACAGGTATTGTTTTTTATTGTTGAAGATTATGTGTTTTAAATACAAAAAGAGGACATTTGTCATGCATTTGGAACCAAAAATACATCAACTTGACAGAAAAAATGCATTTAACATAGTAGTAGTCTACAATGAATACCAACAAATATTTTGCACATATTCTTTCTTGGGGTCCAGTGGAAAGACCTTCTTCATATGGCAACATGAAAGTCCTGAATAGGGTTAAAGCAAGCAAATCCAAGAGTCATACACCAATATTTATTGCTGTTTTACCAGTTATACATTATCTTTTTAATAATCTTTTTTTTATCCCTTATAAATCCCTATATTTTCTTAATTTTACATCCATCATATACATTTTGTAACCTGTGTTTGTATGTAAGGCCATACAGCTCACTACTATGTTACTGCTTTCCTGCTTTGCAACATTTGTTTTAAAGGTTTTTTTTTTTTTTCTTTTCCCCAGAATAAAACTTCAGTTGCATTGGTGAATCACTGAAATTAATAACATGAGGCACAGTAAATGTCAAACAATGAAGAAAACACCATAGCGGAGAGGGGAGATTACACTGACATTATTATTATTTGAGATGTCGCAAATATTTAATGATTCAGTCAGTGAAGCTGCAGCCTATGTCCACATCTGTCCTGACTCATATAATACACGTACTAAAGACTTAGGAGGAATTTATTAGAAAGGCAGCCAAGATTAGACTGAGTTATATTGTTTAATAACTGTCAGAAAGAGTTTTTTCAGAACATTAAAAGATCAGTGTGAAGTTGACCTTTGACCTTTTGGATATAAAATGTCAACACTTCCATTATTTCATCACATTAGACATTTGTGAGAACTTCTGTCATAATCAGCGTACCAATTATTGAACTACTACCTGTTTTGCGAGGTCACAGCGGCCTCGACCTCTGACCAGGAAAGTCTCATCAGTTTATCGTTGAGTCAAAGTGAGCAATTGTGCAAAATTTGAGGGAAGTTTCTCAAGGCATCCTTGAGATATGTGCTCAAATAAATGGGATGGCTGGATGGACAAACTGAAAACATAAAGCCTCAGCTTGCACAGAAGCATAAAATAAAAGTCCAAATTAAATACAAGAAAACTGTGCAGCTCTTTATTGCTGATGCACAATGCCTGCAGTAGTGCTGTGTTGATGCTGCAGTGGAGGACAGCTAAAAGAACACATAATGTTATAACTGGAGTCTGTATAAACACCTGCAGTAACTTATAAAGACACAAGAGAGCGCCTCTAGACTTGATCACATATAAAATGCCATGTGCATCTGATGCTGCCTGATAATCCGGTGAGTCAGTGTGCAGACTGTCAATAAGCCTCTGTGCAGGCTGAGTGTGCGGGTGAGATGGAGATGCATGACTATGAGTGTGGTATCAAAATGAAACGGGACATTGTGTTTTAGGAGGTAAGCTGGTGCTGCCAGCTGTGATTCAGAGGTCACATATATTCCACACAATCAGATGATGTTTCCAAGTTGAGGCTGATGAATCTGTAGAAATATGTCAGCATACATGACCAGACATGAAGTGAAACTGTTTTACGATGGTGTTTATGTAATTCTTGGCCTCCTTTCAATCACCTGGCTGCTTTTCTCATTACAAACACGGGTCACACAGTAAAACACCTGACGCATACTGACTGCTGGGGGTGATTTACATTTCGGTTTCTTATGTCTGCAACCTGATTTAATCATGCAAAACAGCCCACACATTCAGACCTGCACAGGTTATATAATAGCGGAGGTTCATAAGGTGAATATAAACAAGTTATATATATTCAGACTGTCATGACTGAGCTTCCCGTTCTTCTGTTTAGGATTTGCGCTCGTCTCCAAGAGTCTGGACTGACATTTTTGTAAATTGTCTCCATGTGTCCTCCAGAGAACGTCACAACTGTCGGCCTCGACCACTGTTTTAAATGTGCCCTCAAAAATATGCAGACAGAGGCGACTTGTGCCATGAGTAAATTACCTTATAAGTCCTCCTGAGGCTTCTGGTTTGACTCACCGTGGACTACAGAGGGCAGTAGAAGACACTAAAACTAATCAAATGAGTGCATTTAAAAGAAATGGATGACCTCTGGGTGACTCAGTCCTTGACATTACTCTCGATGACAAAAGACTACAAATCAAAAGCACAAAACTATGATTCAGTTCAGATTTATTTAGCAAATATTCATTATAATAAGTTTCCCCCCCTAGTTTTAATAAGTGGCACTTTGAGTAAGGCATTCTTCCGGCAACCCCAAACCACTGCTATGTGTCACAGACAGATTAAATACAGATCCACATAACCACGAGTCGGCTGGTACAGTTTTCCTTTTTATTTATCTGGCAAAATAATAAAAAGGGAAGCATTTGGAAAGAGTCAAAGTTAACAGTCAGGAAATACAAAAATATAGATAAAGCAATTCTAACAGCTGTTTTGATTTATTTCCTCCTTCTCTCTCCAAATGGGAAAAAACTATACTTCTTTGGATCAACATATAATAATATGGACTGTATATTTATAAGACATCTTTTACACAGGATGCAGAAATCCATGTTCAGCCCCATCATGCTACCTCCAGCTACCCATCAGTTCATGATCCAGTAATGTCCTTTCATCAGTTTGCAAATCAACCCCCCTCCCCTCATTTTTTCACATAGACACCTGAATATCCCCGAATGCACAAATATGGACCTGCCCTCCCTCCCTCCGTCCCTCCCAGAAACCCTCCAGTCTCTCTCTGGTGAAAAAGATCACAGCAATACCTCCTCTCGGTGTGTCAGGAAGCCTGGGGACTCGCAGCTCGGTGGAGGATGATGCTGTTTATGCCTGTGGCTGGAGAGTCTTGAACACGGTGCAGCGTGTTGACGTTGCTGATATCCAGGCTGATTCCCACCCTCCTCTCTGGACCGCTAGGCCTCTATCACTGTCCCACGCTTGGACGGGGGCACCAGGTGTTCAGGCAGCGAAGGCGGCAGCTCGTGGCCCTCCAGCTTCACCTTGATCAGGTGGTTGGCCAGGGCGAACTCCTCGTCATCCAGGAGCCCGTCTTTATCCACGTCTGCCAGCTTCCAGATCTTTCCCAGGACTGTGTTGGGCAGCTTGGACTTCAGCATCTCCTTCTTGGCTGCAGCACCAGACACTTTGCCATTGATGGGGGAGAGGGTGTAGAAGATCTCGTCGTATGTGGGCTTGTCGCGACCCACCACCCATTCCAGCTCATCGATGCCTTCGCTGGCACCCTCGCCATAGCCGTGGCCAAAGGGACCGCTCATGGTTCCCTCAAAGGCTCCACCCTTGACGGTCTGGCTGGGCATGGCGGCCTCCTCCTGGCGCACCATGGCCATGAGACGGGCGATGTCGTTAGCAAGCATGTCCTCCACTGCCTCCAGCAGTTTGGGCTTCAGCGCTACAAACTTGGAGAAGTCCTGACCATTCAGCAGCTCCTGAAAGAGGGGGTTGGGAGAAAACAGGAATTGGCGATAGAAATAGATCAGTCTTCAATGGCTACCAATGGGAGTAGCATACAAGAAGCAGGATTTCCTGACAAACCAGGAAAAATAAATCTCATCCCCGTCCTGGCCCATCCTGGAGGGCAAGAGCAGGAAAGAAGGGCAAAGAGGTAAAGAGTAAAGGTGAGAAGGTCGTTCTACTCTGAATGGTTTGTTTCTGATATTTTATCTAACACCCAAAAATAGAGCTGTTATTCCATCAAATCTGTATCTCCAGGTAGTACA